ACACACACACACACACACACACACACACACACACACACACACACACAATCAAGATGATCGCTATCAACACAAACACCAGGGACATTTGGGGAAAGAAAATGCAGCAGGAAGGCATAAAATATAAGCAAAGTGTGACAAAAATAAGAGAGAAAACTAACTAAATAGTAAGAAGCGGGTTCATGATTTTAGAGTAACACTATATAGAGCAGTCGTGAGGCAGAATTGGTCCGAACAACAACTAAAACTAGAGCATGGAACAACAGTAACAAAGCAAGAACAGCCCAAAAAGAGAACGTAAACAGGATTGTGTTCATTAAGTGCATTAGGTATCTCCAATTGCACGTGCAACCCTGCCTCATAATTGATAAACATCTATAAATGAAGACTTAGATATTAGAAAAAATGGTAAGAGCAGAGTTCAACTCTTGTACTTGGACCAAAAAGAAATCTGCAGACAGTGAATCATGGATTCTATTGGACATTATTTATTTGTAGACCAATCAAAACTGTCTCTGCCGTCACACCAACAACCCAGGAATCCTTTCCAACAATTATTGCTTGATTGTGTTTTTCTAAGTGAGCCAGTGTTGCTACACTCAAAACAAGCCACACAAGCTATTCAACAACCGACTAGTTATTCAATGTAGTAAAAGGAAATCAGAATATGTCGGCACATTAAATGAGATGTCAGTCATATTAATAATCACTAAACATGTAATGTAAATGCAATACCATTGCAAAATACTAAACACCAACTGGAAACCGTTCAGATTGTAGTATAACAATGTAACTACCGTCCAAGACAAACTGTTACTGTAGGTTTACAGGATAAACCAGACCAGCTGTATGAGTCATATGCAGATAATCAGCCTGTCTCTACAAGTGGAACCACTTCAGAAACATAATTCCTATTTCTGTTCACCACATTATCATCATCATGGCTTTCCAATTTAGTTTTTTTTAAGCTTCTAATTGGCATATTTTGGCACAGAAATGTAAACATTTCTCTAGTCGTAAAATTCTCCAACAACTGCCGCTGGGTTTTAATGCTGGTCCCTGTCCAGGATCATCGAGTGTAACATATTACTTCAGTTTTTTTAACATGTGTAGCCTTTTAAACCATCTTTATTTCTGTCACAGTATGATGCTACCCTGATGACTTTTGTTGTGGACAGCTGTACTGTTTATATTCAATTGCTTCGGGGTCCACAAGTTTATGCAGTCAAGAGAGTTTGGTGAATGTGACTTCCAAACCTCACAGATACTGTATATGGATAAGAATATGAAAATGTTCTTGCATCTCATTAGCATGCAGTCCATCCTCTCTTTCAAATGTGTATCATGGACAAGTAGGAATTCCATAAATACAAATCCAACAATCCCAGGCACTTGAAAAGGATTCAAACTACTACATCATTCAGGTGTCGGGTCTGAATGTCTATAAACCAGTACCTGGGGCGGGGCTTCCATGGGAGTATCAGGTGGGGCGGTGACTACACTGATGATTGGCACCACCATAGCCAACGGCTGAGGCACAAGTAGGGGCACAGGAGGAGGAGGAGGAGGAGGAGGAGAAACAATAGTAGGCACCACCCCAACAGGGAGCGGCAGAGGAGAGGGAGGGGAAGCCACGACCGCTGTCGGCATGGTAACAGGGAGGGACGGCGATGGACAGGGCAGTGTCACCAAGGTAACGGAAGATGGAGTTAAGCTGGGCTGAGAAGAGGAGGAAGGGCCAGAAGGAGGAAGAGGAGGAGGCAGAAAGGGAAAAGAAGGGAGAGAGAAGAAGGTAGATGAGGCCGAGAGGACGGGCAGGAGGAAAAGTGAGGGAGCAACGTCATCGGGAGGATGAGGAAGAAGATAACCCCGAGCAAAGACGGATATATATCGCCTGAGTAATGGAACAGTGAGATAACTGTCGGTTCACCTTAAAGGCTTCACATCAAAAGAAAAACTACTTCCCGGTTAGCTTGCGAGTCTGGTTCTTTATTGATCTCCATGATAAATTATGTTAAAAATAAAAGACACCATCTATAGTTCACTGGAACATTGATTGAGCCTATTAGTGACAACATCTGTAATTAAACAACAAACTCTCTGACACAAAGTTTGTGTAAAACACACACGACTCTTAAGATCATGCAACCGCAAATATATCTCAACAGGCAATGTAGAGTGTGGCTTTACACGTAGTAGGAGAGCAGGCAAAGTCTGCAATGAAGATGGGCAACACTCTTAACCCCGTATTAAAACACACAGGACATAAAACCTACCTACAGATGTTTTCTCACACTTTATTTAATGCTGCTGTAAGTCTATATTGAGTTTAAAGGCGTTGCATGTGTTCTTGAGGTTGTATCTTGAGGCTGTGTGACATGTTTTTGTGGGGGGGGGGGGGAATGAGACATTATTGCATTGTAGTTGTGCTCTGCCTCCTGTTCACACTGACTTTTTACAAGTGAACCAAGAGGAGTAAACATGAAGCTATATGGACCGACAGGTAACTGGCTTGATTGGACAGTTTTGGCGATTGTCCTCCCACATCCTCAGGACCCTCGAGGGACATTAAATTGTGATGACTCAGGGACAGACGGATTCATCAGAGTTGAGCTTTTGAAATAATTCTAAAATCACATATCTGCCAACATTAAATCCTTTGTTTCACACCTCAAATGAAAAGCACCAGAGTTCCCTTAGAAGAGAACCGAGACCCACCTTTTCTCGTCTCGTTTTGGTTGTTTGGTCCGACTGACTGCTTTCACACCAGCCCACGTGAACCATACTAACGGAGCAAACCGACCTGTGTTCGTTTTTATCCAAACCAAAGAGGTTAGGTGTAAAACCATAACATACTGGATTTTGGCCTGAACATCGATGCTACACCTCTTTCAAGGTTTTTCCACTGCCACCAATATTCATCTTTTACCGTTTATCAGTTCTGATTCAGGAAATGACCCATCTTCATCTGCTAAAAATGTGTTCATGCATTTGCCATCTATGTTTTAATGAGGTAGTTAGAAGGAGCATTATATCTGGGGTGAACAAAGGAGAACTCTATTAACAATAGGCATCAACAAAACAAGAGGATTGTCAAACTGATTTACACACCATCACTAACAGATACACGAGGGCACCGACAGTACGGACATGACAGCCACATACACTCGCATATGTTCTGGTACCTGAACTATTGCTAGCCGAGCAGCTTGGTACAGAAAGTAAAGATGTTCTATACTGGGAGACGGGCTGAGGTCAAAAAACTGAACACACACACACACACACACACACAATCAAACATAGATTTGTACAGACAAGTAGACAAGTATAAACACACACAAACCCGGTGATAAGTGCATGCAGCAAGCCAGAGAGTGGAAAGAAAAACAGAAAAACAATCTGAGCTGAACGAAGCAGAAAGAAGCAAAAAAAGACGAGCAAAACATGCAGTAATAACACATGGGCCAAGAATGGCATTGAATATGAAAACTGACGGCAACTGTGTGTAAATGTGGATGTCCATGTGTGTCTCTGGGTGCCTGCGTTTCCGTGTTTAAATGTCTGCAAAGAGCTAGCACCAGCTTGTGTCCATTTGGAGTTTATTTGTGAAGTATTGTGTTACATGTACAGTGTATTTCATTAGTGGTGGTACTTTACGTACCTGTGAAGACGCCTGTGGCAGAGATGTGTGTGTGGGGCTCTGAACTGATGTAATACTGTGACTGGAGGAAACAACCTGGAGAGAGAAAGGAAAACAGTGTGAGACAGAGAGCAGTGGAGAGAAGGGAGGAGAGAGAACTACTCAATATGAATATACACACACGCCAGTACCTTTTTTTGGTTTGATACTTTTTATAGCGAGTGCAGTTCCCAGTCATGTCCTGATTATTATAACCTGGATAAACTCAAATCCAAGTTATGGGAAACCAAAATTTGTTGGAAAATGCCAGGTGGGAAAACCAATCTTATCCAATTAAAATCAGTTTTTTATAACCCTCTGTGTTGTTAATTTCCTAATTGGTTGTCAAACAATATTCCAGTAAAAATATTTAATAAAATATGAATCATGTCAATGATTGCAATACAAGTGTTTTGTAAACACTGAATGTAACTAAGGGGGAATGGCTGCTTTGCTCGTTCATATTTTCTGAAAAGAAAAAAATGTGATCTCTGATTAACATCCAATTTAATGCTCAATCAAATCACTTTAGTGCTGCAATTAGTTCACCGCAGTGGCTTGGGCTGGGGGCAGAACGACTGCGGTGTAACTGCAGGCAAAGTGCCAGTTCTGTGGGAGTCGGTACCTTGAAGCAAAGGCAACAACTTCAAAGTGAAAGCCAACATACCAGTTACTGCTGTATAAGCACATACGATATAGGGTGGAGTTATTTTTGTTTTTAATCTTTTTGGGGTTTGGACATCAAGGGGAGGTGGTGTTAAAAGTGAGAGGAAAGTGATGACATGAGAGAAGACTGGAAGTCTAAAAAGTGACTTTTTAGGTTGCTTTTCTTACCTGTTGGGGGGCCCCAGGAGGAGCTGGCTGGGTGGTGACAGGGACCAGAGGGGGTCCCTGGGGAGTGGACTGGGGGGTGGGAGTCTGAGCCTGTTGCTGTGGAACAGATTTAGAGGAAGACAGACAGAAGGGTGGACGGAGAGGAGGCGGGAAATCAAGAGAAATTGGCAATAAGGAGAAAAAACAAAAACCGAGAAAACAAAATCAGAGCATGTTTGCAGTTTGTCAACCAGAAACTGTACATTAGTGCAAACACAAGGTACTTCTGCAGTTGTCTAGTGATCAGCTTTTAGTCTACATATTCTTCTTGTGTATGCACACATGCACACAGACAACGTCCATCTATACGGCAACAGATATATGCACACCAATACCAACTGTATACACGGTTCGTAGTGTAGCATGTACAACAGTACATGCACAGAACTGGGGTTAGGCAGGGTGTAAGTACAGGGATTGGTTTTTTACATGCAGGTCAAACCCTTAGTGATTGGTAGTGATATTAAATCAAAGAAGCACAAGGTAGAAACTGGAATACGGACACCAAATCCTTTCAACAACTCAGCGCTCCCTAAAACACCCTAACATCTTTTGTTGTATTGCATACGATAAAATATGAGTCATGATCGTGGTGGCTGACTCTGCCTGTTCCTGATGGCTTGAAACTGCAAACATGCCTTGAGTCATGTTTAGTTGCCACATTGCCGGATATAATCCCGTTCAGAAAATTTTTGCAGATTAGTCAAATTCTATAGTGAGTTTAGATTTATGAGATTTCATCCAGATGCTGTATAACCTGTCCTGAGCGCCACATTTGTTTTGCTATTAAAAAGCTTTCAATACTTTTCAAAAAAATCCTTAAAGAAAACATTACTGGTTTGACATGTTACAGATTTTCTTTCTATTTCCAGCCAAATTAAACTTTGGTATTATTGATTGAATCCTGGTACATTCCTAGTGAGCATTAAGCCACACAGAGCTGTATGATCCCTACCGGCATCCTTCAGATAATCTACAGCACTACAGGACATCATCATACAGACTGCTACGGCCGTTCTATTGACTGAACCCTTTTTACTTGTCATGAAGCACAAGTATGTCGCACCAGACACACTGCTACCTACCTTTTCTTAACATCATAAGCAGTCACGTAGACACAATAAAGAATTTCACAACAACGATATCTACTAAATACAATGTATGGCAAGACGGGAGACTTAGATGGATGAAAGATAATGACGTGAAAAAAACAAAACAGAGGTAGTGACAGATAAAGACTGAAGGGCCAGTGATCATAGCGATGGTTCAAAGTAAAAAAATGAAGAAAGTAAAGGTGACACTGATAATATCAGCACTCTAAGGGTTTAATGAATTTGAACTGTGACCTTTGAACCTTGTGTAGGAAGTTGATCTCCAGTGTGGGTAGGAAACGACAATACAATACGCTATAATAAAGAACCGACTTAAAGCCAAGATCTTTAGCAATTACAACACAAAACAGAATCTGAAATATACAAATGAAAAGGCTCTCTGCACGGTTACAGTGGAAGGTTGGTCTAAGCCCCCTTTGATTTTGTTGTATGTTTGAGTGTTTGTCCATACAAATCAACAAAGTCTCATAGCTTCATCACACTTCAAGGATTTTCTTAGATTCACAACACACTAGTCAATGTGCAGGTGTCTAGAATAAATAGATTTGAAGTTTTTCTAGATACAATTTTCCCCATTTGAGGCCCAAACGGACTTTGGATTTGTAAGAGTAAAAATGTAAGTATACCATACATACAGTATGCTGACACAAACACACATTTCTCATATACATTCGTATATGAACATACAGACAACATATTACTTACTGATATTTACAAAGAAATCAAATGCACAACATGAACACAGGAGGGGGCTTAGACTGCTTATAAAGCTTGCACAACAGAGATCTTCCCAAAGTCTACCTTCTGAATGTTGCATTTAAAATAATTATTAATCAACTCACAACACTGAGTCTTATGTCGGGTTTCAAATCAAATGCTTCTGGTCTTGGTTGAACCCAGATGTGCTGTGGGTTGTGCCCTCATCTAGAACTTCTTACGAACTGTTTAAGTATTGCTATGAGCACACATTGCAAAATGCGAGAGATTCTGAAGGCAGATGATGAGAATCTCTCTGTCGTGTTGATGTGACTGGAGAGGATTAAAACAAAGGCTACGTGATGACAATAAGCATCAACTGGGGCTTCCTGGGTTGGGCGGGTAAAAAAAAAACAAAAAAAAACAACCACACAGCAGGGATTGGTATAACAGGGTCCGGGTCAAATTACTATCGTAAATCAATTCAGCTGCTTTTCATAGAAAGATTCACTTTAATTGATGGAGAACACTTTTTTTAAGTTTTTGATGTTTTCCAATGTAAATGACCTCATGGGCAAAATATCAAGAAGAATTAGGTCTATGGCAATAGATATGAAATTCTTAATCTATGAGTTGTTGGCTATTTGCAGTCAAACAACAAAGAAAATGCGTAGAATGTCATAATAATTACAAAGCTTTTGGATCTTTGCTTAAAAAAAAAGCAACTTGTGTCATTTCCACTAGTAATTGACCCAAAGGTGTAGGGGTGTTTTTAAGGTCTAGACTCAGTACCAGAGTAAGGTTAGCGGCCTGCATGGCCAGCAATGACTCATGGTATGTCATATCGGGTTGGGCTGGTATCACCCCTCCATGCCGAGCCCAGGCACTCTGGATCAGAGACTCCAGCTGGGTTGATGACGCTCCCCCAGGGTCGGTGGACGGAGTGGCAGGGAGAAAGCTCTGCATGGAGGGTGGATGTCCCTGGGGATCTATGGGGAACACTCCTCCGGATGAATCGTAGAGCACGGCGGAGGACGAGTGAGGGATGGACTGAGCAGCGGAGGAGTCGAAGGGAGGTGACTGGAACTCCCCGGCATCAGAGGAGGCCATAGAGTCACTGGAAGGTTCTGGGCTTCTGTCTCTTGTGGCTAAACCTATGTGGTGAAGAAGAAGACTTCCTGGAGGTAAGGGGAGCTCGGGACTCATATATGCATACAGCTCTTCTGTCACCGGCTGAAGGCGGCTGTACGTGCCTGAACCACCTGATCCAGTTCCGGTGTTGTCCTCCAGAGGGAGGTCCATAGAGCTCCTTCTGGCCCGGTAAAGTCTGGATGCCAGGAGGCTTGGGTCTCCAGCAGCAGCTGCGGCGGCGGCTGCAGCTAAATGGAACTCAAAAACACTTCCAGTCGGTGGTGGGGCCTCAGCCATAACTGGAGGTGCAGTTATCGGGAAAGCCGACGAGGAGGCATGCTGTGGTGGAGGATAGCATCCATCAGACGATGAAGAAGAGCCGCCAGTGGGCGCACTCATGGGGGGTAAAGGTGGAGGGATTGGGCTGTGTGCACTCATTCTTTGCATGAGGTGTGTGTGCAAGAACGCTGGTTGAGGTGGAGGAACAGGATCGAAAACGAAACTAGCGGCTGCAGCTGCTGCTGCTGCTGCTGCTTGCCTCTGCTGATGGAAACCCAAGTGGCCAAGCTGGTGTGCAGTCATTGGGTATCCTCCATAAGCCATCGCTTCATAATGGTCCAATAAGGCAGCTTGATTTAGACTTAATCTCCTCACTGCCTCCTCGTGCTCTGCTCTTATGTCTTTATAGACGTATAAACTTGGGTCAGATTGTCCTTGGAGATGCAGCGGCTCACCAACACCAAGTCTTTGAGCGGCTGCTGCAAAACCGGGATTTACCATGAAGAGAGAGGGCGTCTCAACACCCTCCATCCCAGAAAAGGGATGCAGGCTGCTCCCATAGCGAGTGTAGGCTGGCTGGAAGTGGCGGGTATGTGCCTCGAGAATGGACGTGCTCTTGCGTCTCTGGGTGTTGTAGGCCTTAGGAGGCCCAGTGGGAGGAGGCGAGAAGGACATGGGGCGCTCAGGTAAGAAAATATTAGGGGGCTCTGGGAGAGTTTGGAGGGGGATGCTCCCTCCTGCTCCTCCTCCTGTGCTTCCTCCTCCACTGTAGGGGTGCATTGAATGCTGCTGCGACAATGAGATACAATGAATTTAAGAATGAGAGAGAGAACCACAGCAAAGGCCCACATGAGATGGAGAAAATAGCAAAGAGCATCATTTCAAAGCACTACAAAGAGAAAAAAAGGGAGATATATTTTCTCTCCACATCAGAAACAAAAGATGTTTAAAATAGGAGAGAATATAACCAACAGCTGTAAAAAAAGGAGTGATGAGATGACGTTAACAGGTAACATGTTAAGACACGAAGCTGCAGTAGAACAGACAGACAGGCCAAGTGACAGACTGGACAAGACAGTAAAAGTGGGAGACACTGTGAGAGATCACAGGTAGATATGCAGTGGGGTAGTTTATGTAGTATAATACGAAGAAAAGAAAGGCCAAATAAGCTCAATCATATCCCGACGCACCTGCACTCAGGAAAACTGTCTTTTAACACAGAGATTCTTTCACTGATCATCCAACTACGCAGCTGCACCCTGACTATCTGGACAGGTCTGGTGTCTTCACTTGTAAAGTAAATCAAGTTAGTCACGTTAGTCGTGTGACTCATTAGTCACTTGATCTGCTAGTCAGGCGAGTTATTCGTCACTCGAGTAGTGAAGTCAGTGCAGTTAACGTCAACCACGATCGTTTCCTAAACCTAACCAAGTGGTTGTGTTGCCCTAACCCAACTTACTGTGAAATCAGAAGTTGTTTTTTTAAAGATACTATGTGTGTACATTGACACACCATCTGGACACTTTCAAAACTAACACTAGAGGGGTGCTCAGTGCGTTGACCTCCGGACACTGCCCAAGTTGGGAGTGAGAATGTGTTTTATATAGCAGTGTTTTGTACACTCTAAAAACTTTGCCTGTCAAATGAGCAGTTTTTCTGATGGCACATGCACATGATATTGGACATTTGTATCATAGAGCACAGTTAAAGGTAAAGCCAGTCAACCTGTATTCAATATGAACACATGGTGGTCGAACAGAGGGAGAGAGAGAGAGTTAAAGAGAGGTGGATGGGTAGAATGAGACTCACAGCGGTGTCTGAAAGTAAACCCTGAGATCATACTAATCAAGACAAAGGTGCCTCTTAAAGATACACAATTAGCTCACCTCGGATTATATTGTATAAAAAAATGTATCATTAAGTTAACTGAAGAGGACAGAGGCTGTATACACATTCATGTTTAGTAAAGGAGGATACAGTACGACTAAATTAATTCATGTTCTTCTCAAGTGTGCATCTCCTCTTGCATTTTCAATGAACTTGCAAATAAATTAAATTCTCCGATTCCATGTGGTTGTTCATGCATTTCTCATTTGGCTAGTTCTTCAAAGCTGTGACAAAAAAACTGCACGAGTAACACAAGCTGTTTCATTAAGAATCCTTTCACTCACTGCGCCATCCAGCCCTGCAGTGAGAGCAAAGTGCATTAACTTTGGCACTGGGCCTTCACAACATGTTTAAGCAGCTTTATCGACTTCCAGACACCAGTGTGGCCCCTATCCGCCATCTTTCTCTCTCTCCCTTCTTCTCTGGTTGTCAACAACCATCGTGGGCCTTGGGGTTTAGGACTGTGAACCTACAGGGGTGGAGAACAGGGCAGGTAGGCTGGCCCTCCGCTGCCTGGCCCTGGGCAGAGAGGAGGCCGAGTGAATGGGTAGGACCGTCTCCAGGGCCTTGGAGAGGCGCCCAGCGAACGTGTCCCTCTCAGCTGCGAGAGGCATGCAGGGGGAGGCGGTGGTGTAGGAGGATGAAGAGGACAGGTCTGGAGGAGGGGTGGAGGGCTCCTTTGGACGAACGGCCATGGGTGGAGGAGCATGGGAAAAGGAGTAGGAGGAGGGAGGGACGCAAACAGACATGCTACGACTTCGACGACGGCACAACGCGGGCTGTGGGCCAGGGAGGGGTGATAGAAGAGGATGGGACCAACATGGAAAACAAACACGCAAAAAGTGAACGAAACATAGAAAACAGCAGCAAAATTAAAACAACGAAAGGACGTGTAAAAAAGAAGAGGCTAAGTGAAGAATACAGAAAAAAAGATTTTCCAAAATTACAGCTTATTACATCAACAAACAAAATAATAGCTCCTACATTTTTAACAGAATTAATGAAAGAGAAAAACAAATCAGTGACTTTGTAGGAGCAACCGTTCCAGTTTTTCCAACAACAAATTTCTAGCAAAACCTGTTAGGAAAGTTAAGACAAATAGCATAATAACACAAATAAATATAAATGACCTCATGAACAAAGGCAATAAATGAAACACAAACTGAAACAGAACAGTGAACAAAGAAATAATAATGAAATAAATTAACACAATATTACATAAAAGGAGAGAATGGTTATTCAAGATATTCAATTAAGTAGTTATTTAATGTGATAAACCAGACTGTAAGTCACTTTGTCTACACTGAAATGACCAACAGTCTCAGTCAGTGGAGGTGCTGGTAAACTGGAAGTCAGACAAGAGCATCTGTTGCCAAAAGGTCCCGAGATGCAAACGTCGTGGGAAATGAAATAAGAAATGACCACTCCTCCTTTCGTAACTATGTATAAATGTGCCCTTGAGCAAGGCATTGGACTCATCTGCTGCTAAAAGGTCAACAATTAATGATTATGGTTAAAACAACAAGCTATGCTCATCAAACAAATATTATGTAAAATATAAATTTAAATCCAGGGCCATAAGAGAGAAGTAGAAACCTAGCTCAGTTAAGATTGTGAAGATGTGCAGTATATCGGTATTCAATAAGAGTGAATAGACGGACACACAAACACACAAGGGGGGGGACTTCTAATTTCTAAAGGAAAAAAGTTTTAGAAAGTTATCGTTTCATATCTAAGATTAAGTATTTCCTTGGGAAAATTCTTAAAATGCATGAGAAGTAAATATGCTCAACTATCAATATATGAAAACAGGTTTAAAGTAGGAAAACAAATATACAAAACAAGAAAAAGAATAGTCACTGAATAAACAACAGATGTGACAACTGGATGCTTACATGAGGGAGCATTATTAACACAGAACGATGAGGATCGAGGGAGGAAGACAGAAAGAGGTAACTGGCTGATGAAATGGCAGGATTGAGGTAAAGAGGGATGCATGACATCTGGTACGCTGAGGAGAAAGTGACTCACAGATTGAAAGATGAATTACAAAAAGGAATGCTTAGCTGGCTTACTATGAAAGTAACAAACTGAATAAATATCAGATTGTGTAATTAACTCATCTAAGTGTCTTAAATATTGGCTGACAGATGTGTTGCTTTCACTCCGCGCAATGCAGTAAGTAGCAGCCTCAACAGGCAAGAAGAAATCAAATACCTTCTAGTCGTCCTCTTCTTCAGGTCATAGGAGGTCATCGCCAAATAAAACACCCATCAACAACACGCTCTTGTGCGTTTAGCTCAATAAATTGCATGCCTACTCACTGCAAGTGTCATTCCTACTCACTCCCACTCCAAAAACACACGTCAAACTGACTATGCACATACAACCTACACGTGCGCAATGTCCAATTCGGATGATAAGGCCACTCACCATTGGCTGCGGCGGCTGGGCGTAGCCTGGGTGCTGCTGCGGGTTAGCAGAGGGGGTGGAGAGGTAAGGGGTTTGGGGCTGGGAAGGGGGATGGGGGGAGTGGGAGCAGCCGTAAGACATGGTCAGCTGACCCAGGTGGGGGGAGTCCGAGGAGAAAACGGTGGAACCCTGGCCGCTGTCCAGACCTCCTTCAGCTGAGGGGGAGAGCGACAAAGAGAGACTTGTTAGGGTCACCTTCAGTCCGATAAAGTCCATCTTAAAGTAAAGACTTGAACAGAAGCTCAGTATCTACGTGGGAAGAATCTGTTTCTCTCTCTCTAGGAATTTGCACTCCATTTATACAAGTAATTCTTCTGCTGGTTTAAAAAAAAAAAAAAAAAAAAAAGAAAAAGCAGCAGCCACAGGGGAGCACAAGCTGTTTATAAAGGGCACAACAACGCATGAACAACTTCAGAGGCATACAATTAAAGGAAGGAAGAACATAGTCAGTTCCAGTGTTTTGTGTTTACAACAAGAGGACTGTAATGTGTGAGCCACACTTGAAAAGCAACTCAACAATCGCTGCCCCGTGTTTATAATACGACACCGGAATAACCCTCTTGGCTCATGGAGAATGTTTTTAAGGATGTATGCAGTCATTTGTCACATGTTTTTTTAGAGATGGAAGTGCTGGAACGGTGTCTTGTGGTAATCCTAAATCATACATTACAGATGCTTGAAATATTCTCTTTTATGAATAAAACAGACGTGCGACGGAAAAAGACATAATATCCATGCAGAATGTGATGATGTCGTGCTCCAAGTATCGACTGCCTCGGCAATTTGAAGTTTGTCTTACATGTGTGTGAGATGCCCGTGTGCTGATAGTGAAGCTGCTGTTGCTCCACTTCGGTCTCCTCTGCTTCCACCTGCAGACAAACAAACACAAGCTCGGGTCAAGTCCACAAGGTCCACAGGGTCCACACAAACACTCCATTCTACAGCTGGAGAAAGGACCATGTGGACTCTTACTACCGAAAGCCTGAAAATATCCGTATTTCAGTCTCTTGTTCAAACAACCAGTTGAGTGTTCCAAAAGTCCAAATATACTAACAAACTGATTTACTGATAAATCATTAAACAATAAACTAATTAGTTAGCTTAGTGTTCAACAAACCTGCGTGTGAGAAGATTTGAGTGTCTCTTGCTGCTGCTGTTGTTGCTGTTGCTGCTGTTGTTGCTGCTGTTGCTGCTGGAGCTGTTGTTGTTGTTGTTGTTGTTGTTGTTGTTGTTGTTGCTGCTGCTGTTGCAGGAGCTGCTGCAGCCGTTGTTGCTCTGTCTCAAGTTTTCTCTTCTCCTGTTCTTCTCGTACCAGCTGCCTCTGTTCTCTCTTCCGCCGGATCAGAGACACGCGATCCTTGATAGCCTTCGCCATGGTCTTATGGTCACCCTCAGCAACGTAGCCGGACTCAACCTGGGGAGTTGGATGAAGCCACACACACACACACACACACACACACACACACTCTTCTTAACCAACGGGACTTTTCACTTCATCCATCAACCGTCCATCTCTTCTCACCACATAGTTCTTCTCATCCAATATCCTTCCATTCTGTACATACCATTTCCTGGGCCACATCTTCAGGGAAGTCCTTGTTCAGGTCAAAGGAGAACTCGATGGCTTCGTTGTCTTTGTATTTGCCTGCAAACAAGTGAACAAATGGCTGGTCAGGAAGCTGCCCCTCTGTTTTTCTTTGTAAAAATAGTGTTTATGGTTATCACTACAAAAGTATCTGTTTCTGGAACTAAGACTTTAGGAATGGCAGACCTTACAAGATCTTAATTGGATGAAGAAATACAATTATTCCTTGCCTTTAAGCTTCTTGACGTCTTCTATCCTGAGCCAAAGTTTGATGGCAATCATTTCCCCATCATCCTCTTCTGCCAGTTCAACCCTGACCCCTGTGTCCTCCTGAAAGAAGGCATGGTTCAACAGGATCTTTATAGCATACCTAGAGGAACGAAAGAAAAGAAAAGAGATATGTAAGAGGGGATTCACTTCTTCATACCAATTTGTTTAACTTGTGAGCTGGTCTCCAGCTGATAAGCTAATAGGACAGATGTATTTAATTTATCTGTTGAGAAACACAACATGTTGACAACAATGAGTCTTTGTGTCAAATAAACTGAATGGCAGACCATCATATAACTATTCTTCCCCAAGACATCTTTAAGAAAAACAAAGGGAGGGAAAGAGAGTTTAGCTTTGGTTTAGTTTCGAGTACGGTGAATGTTTTGGCAGACCCACAGCATGGTCAGACACAGAACCGAGGACTTTTTATTTCTGACCAAGAAGCTGTGAATCAGAACAGGATTAAGAGAGAGGGCGCCATCAAACATTACGAGGCTTATTGTGATCCATTTCATTTTAATAAAGTAAGAGATTGATGCAAACGTTGTCTGTACAGTAAATCACACAAAGTTAAATAAATCCAAAGATATGCCTAATTAAAAACAATGCCAAGTTAAGCTGTGTGTGTGTGTCTCACCTCTCATCCTTGTTTGTTCTGATGCAGCCCTCTATAATTTCCTTCACCTCAGGAATGGCTACCTTGTCAAAACTGCCAGGCTTAACTCCCTGCAAACACAAGAAGAAGGGCAGTGAAGACAAGGAACCTTTTAGAGAAAGACAAGCAGTCAAGCGCACACACACACACACACACACACACACACACACACACACACAAGTGTTGGATAGAACTGAAACACTGCTTTTCTTTCTCACTAATGTATAGGAGACATTTATCGTGGGCTGCCATCTTTTAAAACACATGTGCTGTACATTCATTCATGGTAATCTCCATTTCTTTCAAGAAAACAGTTGAATGCTTGCTTTCTGTTTTGCCTCTGTATACAATGCACAACACGATTGTTCGTCAGGATAGGAACATAGAAAACAGGCTGAACTGCCAAAATCCTATTACATACTTCAGAATTAATTGTTACTAATTAAATGGAACTTTTTGAAATACCCATTCTGCAATTAAAATTCATGAGCCATGCAAATAGAGCATTTTACTGTTAACAGTATTTTATGATGTTTAAACATTTGACAGAGAGGTCCTACTGCCAACTTTTAATTCCCACATAAACCCAGATATCCTCTCAGGAATACACAATGAATCACAGCCGCCCAGAGCCAATTAAGAAAACTAGAGGCCATCTTGATGGATAAAACTAATAAAAAGGTATCAGCTGGGACTCATGCTGAAGGCTCTTCTAACGCTTAATACCAAGAAAAGGCAACACTGGAAATCTTCCCAAAGAAGAAAACAGAAACAATCGATATCTTCATGATACAGCACAATGCAGGGGTTATAGGAATACACTTTTTGGCACAATAAACTAAAAAGGAACCTCTGTTAATGACCAGCCCAGTTGTTCAAACATTAAAGGATCAAAATAGAAACGGAAGCAAAGTCAAAAAAGAACGGAGCTGAAGCTTTATCCTGAATGAATAACAAGGTAGCAAACAAAAATGGCATGCTCCAGAAGATACGACCATCTCTCCATCTGTCGTACACCTGTATGGAGTATAACATCATCCATGTAGAGCCCACAGTTATATTAAGTTAGATCAGAACTATTTCTAGCAGATGTCAGTTTCCTTAAATCACACATTATATATCAAATATAAAATCATAACGATGAATGCAGATTGGAAGCAATAAAAACTCAAAAACACTGCTGGATGAAAACAAAAAGAGGAAAAACCAGCTACTACGACTGACAGAGAGACAGTTGGACAGGTTTAAGGTTTATCAAATGAAAGGTAGGGAACTTACCTAGAAAACAGACAAACAGACTAGAGACCTGTTGCACTAACAGATGTCTTGGGTCGTTGTTTTCAGTCTGAACTAGCTCGTCAGACAGACAGAAAGAGTTGCTAACTGTTTATTTCACCCCGTTCATGCCGGCAAATGACCACCGACTTCTGCTCTTGTCATCCAGCTCCGTCTTCCCTTCCTACTTTCTTTGGCCTGTTTCTCTCCTGCAACCCACCAGTTCACCATTACGCAACAACCCCCCCCCCC